GCATTTTACAACATTTCAAGGCTATATTTTCCGCATTTTACAACATTTCGCAACGAAACTTTGGAATATTACTAATTTTGTGATGCTCCTTCAAGCTGTGATGAAATTTTTGTCTAGACTTGTTTAGTTCAAAATGTAGTCTATTACGCAAATGGTCAATTACGTGTGGTGTCTTAACTTTACACATGTAAAAACGCGCAAGTTGTTGCAATGGTTGTTACAATGGTTGTTACAAATCTGCAAACAAGTTGTAACAAGGTTGGTGTCAAGCCGAAATCAGGATGCGTTCGCACTGCTTGTTCCCCGTTGTTGTGACAAGTCTGGAACAAGTTGTTATCAATCTTATCATCTAGGTTGATGACGGTAACAGACTTGCTACAAGTTGTTCCAATAAGAACAAGTTGCTATACGTGCTTGTTGCCATCAACTTGTTACGTGCAGAAGATATCAGACTTGTTGGAACAATTTGCTGCGAGTTTGTTGGCCTCATCAACCTTGTTCCAGACTTGTCAACAATTGGGAACAAGCAGTGCGAAGACCATCTTTTGACAAGCTGAATCGGGTACACATGCAAAATCTCACATCTTGTAGCATGTCTGCCGCCAACAAGCCGTCAACAAGTTGTGTTCGCACTGCTTGTCCCAAGTTTGGAACAAGCTGTTAACAACTTGTAACAGCTTTGTTGGTATTGTCAGACTTGTTGCAAGGTTGTTCCAACAAGTCCGATACAGTCATGATATAACAATATTGTTGTTGGCTGTAACAAATATAAGGTTGTAACCTTGTGTGCTCAACCTTGTAACATTCTTGTTATATCATGACTGTATCAGACTTGTTAGAACAACCTTGTAACAAGTCTGATAATGCCATCGAGCTTGTTACAACTTGTTATGAACAGCTTGTTCCAACAACTGGGAACAAGCAGTGCGAACACAACTTGTCGACAGCTTTGCAGACCTGTAGCAGCTTGTGCGTATTTACGAGTGTAGGTGAAACCTGATCTGAAGATCTTAATCTAGGTGAAACCGCTGATAGCGACGAAGACTTATTATAATATAGCATTTGTCAATTCTGAACGCTGATTGGCTAAGAGCCGTGTTGATATAACTCAATGTCAACACGGAAACGTCGGAAAATTTCTTTCTTTATGTTTCTTTGTGCTATATTATAAAACAAATATAAAACAATTTTTCCATATTGATATACAGTTATATCAACACGAGTGTTGATATAACTGTATATCAACACGGAAAATGTTTTATATATTTTTTTAAATGTTAATTGTGATCATTACATGCGTATCTCTTAATCTCTATATATATAATGTGTAATGGCAGTAATGCTTCGTCAAATTTTTAAAACTGGCAAATCTTCGCCAACGTTTTCTTTCCAGAATTGTAAAATTTTCCCCAATGCCATTTCTTTCTCCTCGTACGTCTGCGCTATCATAGTCCAGCGTTCTTCTCCTTCACGACATGCGCTGTTTTCAGCAAGACAACTCTCCCCAGTCATTTCTGTCTCCTCGACTTTGCTTTGCAACCGCTCCTTCTTGTAAACAATCGTAAAACTCTGCGTGTTAAAACCGCTGAACTCGATTCTTTTAATGTCCGTAATTAGGCGCATGCGTTGAATTTCGTGCCGTGAGCCCATGGGCAGACCTTTCACGAACAGCGGTAGTGGGAAATTCACGTGATTTTCTACCGACGTGCACAGCACGTGATTTAGAACCATAAAAGTTCGAGACAATTTCTTGCCCTCTATAACTTGAAACATAAGAAGATACAACACTATACTACAGTCATTTAGTGATGTAAAGTATTCCGACTCTTTCGCATACTCTAAAATGCTATGCTTCAGGATCTCCACGGCATCATCATTTGGGGATACAAATTGTACAACGCCTTTCGAGTGATGGAGTTTTTCCACCGAAGAGTGCTCGTTGTCAACTTCGGCACTGCTTCGATATGTGTCGTAAATGCTCGGAGAGTCGTCGGATGTACTCGGAACTGGACGTTCGATGTCAATCTCTTTGAACATGCTTTTGAGGTTCTCTAAAAAGCAACTGGTCACCTGATAGTCACGGGTAATGAAAGTGAAAGTGTTCTCGGGTTCGTCCGCTTCCAGTCGGAAAGTCTGATCAAAGAAGCCGGCACAGACTTGACGTAACGTTGCCAGTGGCAACCAATGAAAACATAGCTTGGTATCAATACCAAACAGCACATCCTGCGCGCTGCCGATAATTCCCTTATCCTCCAAGTCTGCCACAATGTAAACCTTTGAACTCGACAATACTAACCATACGTGGACCTCACGCGTGGGATGTGTGTACGCCACGCATCCTGTCCACGCGTATGACACGAGGGTTTCAGAACCGTCATTCCCACAGTTCTGTCGTAAAGTTTCATAGAAAAATCTTTCTAATAGTTCAGCATTAGCATTATGTAAAACTTGCATTGATTTCCTCATCGAGTCTTCATTGAGTACCGGGTAAAATGGTCCTGAGGCATTACGACGGTGACTTTTACCGGTCCGGTTTTGTGAGTCGTCCGGCCCAGATGACACCAACCCCTCCTGGAAAAAGTGCGCTGTAACATCAACCCGGGGGGAGTGGCGAATACTCTTTGCACATATTGGTTTGGATTTCGTAGTTAGAAGTTTGCCATGAAAATTGTATGACCATATTTGGGAAAGCGACCGTTGGAATTGCTCTCGTTCCTCTTTGAGTTTGAAAATGACGTTCCACACTTCGGTCCCGCGAGACGCGTGTTCGGTCCCGCGAGACGCGTCCTCGTGGGAAATGTCGTCTTCGTGACCATGCAGATTGTCTTCAAGAAGTAAGGACATTCCACTGGTACCCACGAACGCACATTCACCAGTGACGTCATAGACCTCGATACCAATAATATGCTTGACGTCATCGTGCTTGGTGACCACCCATTGTGGTGTTGATGGCGCTCCTCGGACGTAGCTAAGCTCCGGCCAATGTATGTGGTCTTCTTCGCATAAGAAAATATTCCAATTAGTAAGAACCAAACTTCGCGTCGTGCTCGTCACGTGACTAGAAGTCGATGACGTCACGTCACTCGTGTTCGCCACGTCATCACATGACGTCACTTCCCTAACCACAGCATATACGAGAACGCGTTCGTCATCCTTAAACGTCTTCCCACAAGACATTGCGATCTCTCGTGTCAACTTTTCAAGACGTGACTCGCTTGTGTTGACGATATCGTAACTGCGTATACACGGCAGCGCACCGTTGGACATATCCATCTCGTCCAGCGCTTTCACAAACGATTCAGTCATTTCCGAATCACGTGCAAGAAACGTGAACGTCCCGTATTGGCCACGTTTCGAGAACTCGAGCCGAAACGTCAAGTCGAAAACACCGCGGACAACGCTACACAGTTCAAAGAGCGGTAAACAACACATTAACGGCAGAACCTTCTCGAATTGCTCAACCTTTTTCGGGGGTGAAACGACGTTGACCAGATTAAACAGGTACACATTAAGGTTCGTCAAAACGAGACAAACCGGAAGTTCGTGTTCGGGTAAAGCGTACGGAAGGCAGCTGACCCAAAGTATCAAATGCGCACATTCGTTTCTAGTCTCCGCAGTGTGACGCGCCGACTCCGTGAGCTCGCTTTCCATTGGACAGCCAAATTTGTTGTTCAGAAATTGATGAAATAAGTCGTGTGGTAAGCCGATCGGATTGCTGTATATCGAGATGACGTCATTAGCGACTGTTTGTTGCGACGTCTGCGAGAGGTCTGAGTTCGATCTCTGTGGAGGCCTAAGTGAAATAGAAATTGAACGTGTTAAACCGTTACAAAAGGGAAAGCAAATTATCTACTACATGTCAAGACAGCAAGTAGTGAATTTCGAAGTTCCGGACTACAATTTTGGACACAACCCTTCAGACCGTCCCAGCCAATATTCCAAAGTTAATGCACATTGACCTATTAAATTTCGTCACCCCCTCTCCGCCAGTTCAATGTTGTAAACAACGCCAAAACAACTTTTGATAATTTACCATGACACAAGCTCAACATTGAGTTGGGGAAGCGGTGGCTTAAGAAGAGCAACATGATTCAATATGGAGTTTATCATATATATATATATATATATATATATATATATATATATATATATATATATATATATATATATATATATATATATATATATATATATATATATATATATATATATATATATGTGAATTTTGTATAGAGGGAAAGATAGTCTCAACCATTTATCTCCAAAATTGTAGCATTTTGAGTCTGAAAACACTGTAGGACGTAACTGAAGACTTATTACGGATGTCACTGAAGTGTACGCATTGACAGTAGATATGAAGGTCGTTCACAGTTTCAATACCATTTCCCCAGCTAATTCCAGTTTTTCTAACGGAGCGTATCTCTAAACAAGTTATCAGTTCGTTCGTAAAACCATAGTGTTATTCTTTAAATCGATATCAAAATACGAAATTTCGGCACACCCCTCGCCAGCTTATCAAAGCATTCACATCTTACCTTTTGCTTAGAGAGTCGCTCACGAACTTGTAAAGCAATACAAACAGCTCAGCGGCGTCTTTCATCGACCTCATATGATATTTGGCGACATGTCTAAAATTTTCTGTGGAATTACCGCTGTTCATATGAAAATCGTTATGACGGCGCAGTTCCTTGTGCTCAGTGTGCAAAAGATCCACGTACCAACACTCTGAGGATTCCAAAATATCCACACTTGTCATTTCGTCTGGAAAATATAGAGAACCATTTGGTCAAGCTTTTTACACTGGATAGCCTTAGCGGCGAAGGCATGAGAAATAATGGACACTTCATTTATTGTAGTTTGAAGAAAAACGAAACCCGACGAAGAATGAACGATCATTTTGTAATGTCATGAGATACAATTAGCAAAACAGTGAAGTTCAGAGCATGCAAAAATGTTTTATGAGTAAATTCTGATAACGCGAAATTACTTTGTTTTTACAAGGCTGCACGATTTTCATCGTTTTTGCACAACTGATATAGCACTTACACTTGCCTTTGTGCCTTCAAAGAACTTAAAATTTCAAAATCTATCCTCAAACTGCAAATTAGAGAGCAAGACAAAACGTTCGACGACGAAAACGTAGTTTCAGCTTTGTTTATACTTTGTAGTTTTCACTCCTAGTCAAATTCAATATGCCGGATTTCAAAGGGCGCGCATGGGGAAAAGTGGAAACATGCATGATTCGTGATCAAGTATGCATTCTATATCTATTATTTCTATGGGCTAAGCCCACCAATGAACTATAAGTAAACTGGAAGGCTAACTGCTACGATGAAGGGCTATGATTTGCTGAAGCCAGAATATTTTTTCTGAGTTATGAGCAGAAATACTTGATCCCAAACGTTGGGCTACATATCAAACTGAAGCTATTGAAAATTGCTATTCGGTGTGGAAATTTCAAGTCTTCAGCGAAAAGAAAAATATTTTAAAAATACAAAAACAACTGCCATTCGGCCAAAAAATGGCAAATTATAGGCAATTATTTTTGTAGTTTTTAATTATTTCCCTTTTAGCTAAAGTCCTGAAATTTCTACACCAAATAGCGTTTTGCAATAGCTTCAGTTTTCAAAAACTAAAATGCACTGGCTTCAATTCCCCCTCCCCTGAGTTAGCCTTCCAGTTTACTTATAGTTCAATCATCAATTGCTAAGCCCTATAGCCGTAGTGCTGCAGTAAGCATCACTCCTTATTAGGGCCTTCTACTCTTGGCAACGAGATAAGTTGATGTTTCTCACCTAAGTTATATTTCCTGTAAGTTTCTCCACTGGCTACAACGATCTCCATCAAAACGCCTTCTTTCAGATCAACCCCAACCATTCTCTCCTCCTCGCCGTTATCCCCTTCGACACTGACGAAAAATGATCCTGCAAAACTGAGATATAATGCATACAGTTACAATTACCTGAATAACCCTGCGAATAATCCCACCAAAACATGCAGATTTATATTCGGTATAGCGCTGCGCTTCCAGGGGTCTGGAAGTAGAGAAAAAATATGGCCTGTCACTCTGCCAGTCTAACATTTTTTGGCAGGTGAAATACATTTTAGCCTGCCATTTTTATTCATTGAACTACCAAAATGGCGATGTCTCATACGAGTCATATTGTAAAAATCAATGTTTTCATGATATGCATTTTAATTGTTTTTAAACTTGTCTATTTTACCACAGTGAACTTGGATTTACATTTCAAATATAAACGTATTTAGTCAAGTAAATAATCTAGTATATATGAGTTGTGGTGAGCAAATGAAATGAAATATATTTATAGAATTTCACCCGCCATTTTGTTTTTACCTTGGCAGTTCAAATTTGTTTTTGCCTGCCATTTCTAAAATATGGCCTGCTTTTGGCCATTGGCAGCCCGTTATTTCGAGCCCTGGCTGCGCTTCCTAGATGGCATGCCTCATGTGAAGCAAACGACCAGCTATAGTGCGGGAAAAGCAGCTTCGTCAAAAAAATACTGCAATCCGCGGCCAGTAGTGGCCAGCCATTATATTAACTACAGTAGTTGAGCTTTGTGATTCAAAGTTAATGGTATTACAAACTAAGGCTTTGATACCTCAGTATCTATAGAAATCTAAATCAAAGATATGGTCAAATTCGGTAGAATAACTTGTTCGATGGCTCTATTCCTATTTCAATAACCTAAAACCTATTTCTAATTTCATTCATCACTGCGAACGTTATAATAACTATAAACAAAGTTACATATACTGGTGTTTGAGGCCCTATATACTAGAGTTAATGCTTTGAAAACCATAGCTACATTCCAGGAAAATCTGGCAACAAAAACAAAAATACAGAACTTACACGTCTTTATCTTCTTTCATTGTCAGGATTACAAGATTTTCAAGTTCGGCAGAAAATCCAAACTGCAATTCAGAATGTTTTGTACTGGGTTCGGAAGAGGTAACGGCATCATTCTTTTGACCAATGGATCTCGTGTCTCCAGGTAAGGAGGCACTCACATGGTTGCTATGACCCTGAAAGGTAGAACAGTTTGAGTATATGAGGAGATTGTGAAAAGTAAAATGTTGAAGTCTCATTCCCCAGTTAAATGAGGAAGATATAGTTGAATAGTTGATGAGAGTTGAGAAGCGAAAATTCGCATAAGAGTTTTCTAAAATCTCATGCCCCGGTCAAACGAGAACAACAGTTACATGAGAGTTGATGAGAGTTGACTGGATATTGCCGGTCACACGAGCAAAAACTCTCGTAAACTCTCATCAAAATTTGAACCAGTATCTAGTACATGTGACCATAGTCTTTCGAGACATGGTCTGGAAACTCCGTAAACTTTAAAGCGGTTATAATGAGCTGGGAGTTTATGTTGAGCCATACCTTACAGTTACACCGTGCACATCCTTTGTTTAAACGTTGCTACTGGATGACTCGTTCATTATACTGAAATACAATGTGTTCATTGACCGTGCACCGTGCACAAAACTGCATAAACGCGAACAAAAAGATAGAACAAAGACTTTAGCGAAGTTTCCAAACCATGTTTTGAAAGACTATGATGTGACTTTCAGTGAAAACTGCCAGTAAGTAAAATAGAAGGATTACAACAGGTTTATTTGGCATGCTTGATCCAATAAATGTTAACTGTCCATGTAACGGTCGCTGAAACCAGCCAATAGCGATCAATTCTGTATCTTGCTGTTTCACTTAACACATTAACACACGACAATTAACTCTTCTTTAATTTAATACGGCCATGGCAATGCGTGATTCCAGTTACAGACTAGATTTTGATCAAGGCAAGAATAACGAAATCCAACACCACAGCTAGAAAGAGCGTCTTAGAATGAGTAAAACTGCAAAGATTGGTTGCTAAATGTTGTAAAATGAAGAAAATATAGCCCTGTGAAGTTCGCAAATTTTGTTGGTTATTTTAACCGCGCGTAATACAAATATAACTTTCGGCTCAAAAATGGTTATTTTTCCCGCGCGTAATGCAAATATATACAAAATTTGCGAACTTCACAGGGCTATATTTTCCTCATTTTACAACAATTCGCAACCAAACTTTGCAATTTTACTCATTTTAAGATGCTCTTTCCAGCTATGGTAATGGTTTTCGTTCTTCTTGCCTAGATCAAAATGTCTCTACAGCTGGAATCATTCATTGTACCTTATTTTCATTCTGTATTTCATTGAGTAATCCCAGCCAAGCATCACCTCCCAACTGTCGCATTCTCTCAACTCTGTCACGAAATTCTTGCTCCTCTTCAGTGGTTGTGGTCTTGCTCACTGGCACAGATGCAGCTAGAAAAAATAAACACTTTATATGTTTGATCTGTTCAATGTTCTATAAAAAGAATGTGTAATAACTACCTTCCACTACTGCATCTTCTAAAACGTCCCGAGGTTTGATTTTTAACCTGCGTCTAGTTGTCTAGATAAAGATGAATTTTAGAAACAAAGTTATTATAGTTAATAAGAGTAGCACTGTAGCACACCATACCATACCATACCATACCATACCATATATCATATCATATCATATCATATCATACCATACCATACCATACCATACCATACCATACCATACCATACCATACTTAACCTAAGCATACCACACTTTACCATACTATGCCATACCATACCATACCATACCATACCATACCATACCATACCATACCATACCATACCATACCATGCCATGCCATGCCATGCCATATCAAATCTTATCATACCAAACCATCTCAAACTCGTTAATAATTCTTGAGTAAATTAACCAACCATATTGCTTTATTTTGCTCACATGACAATACTGGATACTTGATGAAGTACATTGATCCAGTCCTAGGACTGGATCAAAATTAATTCAGTCCTTGGACTGGATCAAAATTAATTCAGTCCTTGGACTGGATCAAAATTAATTAAATCACTAGTGATTTATTCGTATGAGATGTCATTTCAAATCCTCCAATTCGGACTGGACTAGATTTCAAGTCCTCGCATTTTGATCCAGTCCTCGGCTTCACCTCGGACTTCGACTATGAGGACTGGACTAGATTTCAAGTCCTCGCATTTTGATCCAGTCCTCGGCTTCGCCTCTGGCTTCGACTATGAGGACTGGACTAGATTTCAAGTCCTCGCATTTTGATCCAGTCCTCGGCTTCACCTCTGGCTTCGACTATGAGGACTGGACTAGATTTCAAGTCCGCGCAATTTGATCAAGTCCGAGGCGAAAGTCCTCATAGTCACGGATTTAAAATATTACATACCATACCATACCATACCATACCATACCATACCATACCATACCATACCATACAATACCTTACCATATACCATATCATACCATATCGTATCGTATCGTACCATACCATACCATACCATACCATACCATACCATACCATACCATACCTTATCCTACTTTACCATACTATTATTACACACCTTTTTATTACCAGTCTTATTTTTTCTTGGACTACCAGATGTGCTGTAAGGAACGTTCACAAACTCATATCCATCTTCTTCAGCAAGTATCCCCATTACGTTCTTCTGAAAAATTGAAACAACATGCCAATACATAATTGGAAGTAAAAAAAGTACTGAAATACGTGGAAACACCATTCATGAATACTATTCAATCAAACCAAATTTCGTTTGACTTACAATTTCCGCCTCTGATGGAACCACTTTGTCAAGGCATATCTGAAAACAAGAACATCCTTTTAGTTAAGAATGGATTCTTCTTAAAAACTAAAGTTACTTGATTGGATATCTCTGTCGGCTGGTATAAACTGCTCTTCCTAGAGGTCCAGGAATGATCATCCCATGTGGGCCAGTTATCAGCAACGCGATCATCCTATATTGTTCCAGTGTTACTACAGGAGGAAACCTAACCTATTTTTCACGGCGGAAGGGAAACTCACGCAAATGCTTACCTGTGAAACTCTGTCTTCAAAAGCAGTTAGAAGTTGTATGCGGTACAAGTCGGCTTTATGCCTGACAGGATTTGCCAGCAGTATCAAGTTCTCCAAGCAAGGCAGTTGAGCAAGTGACAGGACATCGGTGATCTATCGAGAAGCAAAACAGGCGGGTTCATTAAGGGTTGTATATGGTGTTATACATAGACGTCAATTTTGGTATTGATACTTATAAATAAATTTGTAAGAGACTTACATCACTTATGGAGTTTTCACTAAGATCAAGATTCACAAGAGAAAACATCTTTGATATATCTATATATACGGAATTAAAATAAAGTACCGGATGTCCCCAAAAAAACCTGGACACTGTTTGATTTTATGTAACGTAAAAGCTATAAAAGCGATCGTAATGAAATAAAGATCATTGCATTCAGAAAGGACTACCGTAGATTTTCATATATAACACTTGAATTTACATGCAATATTGAGCGAGATACAACCAAAATAAAAATATTTATTATTTAACAAGTGTAACTACATCGGTAATTATAAGGTTGTTTTATACCAATTTTTGGCATTTTCAAAAACAGTAGTTCAACGTTCAAACATCTATAGCGCAGTCAATATTGCATGCAAATTCAAGTGCTATGTATCAAAATCTAAGTTAGTCCTTTCTGAATGCAAAAAAAAGATCTTTATTTCATTGCGATAGCTTTTATAACTTTTACGTTACATGAAATAAAAGTGTCCAGTTTTTCTTGACATCCGGTAGATAGTACAAAGGTATACATATAGACAAATTAGTAGATTATAATCTAAGAAGAGTGCATTTTCAAGGTAGTTGTATTCCCATCAATCTTGCAGCTTTCTTCGCACTTAGTAGATTGTTTATTGTTTCTTCATTGTTTTTTTTGTTTATCGAGTTTCTCACTCATTGGTGAGCGGATTTCCCAACAAGCTATTAGCCAAATTGATAGGGGATCCGAGGTATACCTACGATTTAACGTCCTTATCCGAGAAGACACGAGAGTCTAACCATTTACTGATGTCAATGCAAAGGTAGCACTTTCTCCTCAAATATTTTAAGACCTTGAGTAGAGGTCCGACCATAGAAATAATAGACATAGCATGCGTACTCCTATCTTTTCTCAGTGAAAATTTTTTCTCCACAATAAGGGCATTTTGGTCTAATATTTCTATTGGTCCAACCAAGATTGAACCCGGGTCTCCCAGCTTGAAAGGCAAGCGTCGTGACCACCACACCAGAAGAGCTGGTTTAAACGATAGCAGGCACGGATTTTCTGGGGGTGCGCACCCCCCAGAAATTATTTGCACCCCCCCCCCC